CCCTCGCCTACGCTCCCCTGCCCCGCCGCCTCCAGGTGTTGACATGTTGCCCCAGGCGACGCGCCTTGCTCACTCGCCACTCCTTGCGGCTCCGGCTCCGGCTGCGGCTCCGAGCGCGCGGGGGCTTGGTCACCATGAGCCGCAGCGGCAGCAGCTCCTCGGGCTCCAGGCTGCTCGACGACGCGACCAGCGACGCTGCCCTCGGAGCCTCGCCGGCGCTCCAGGTACCGTCCCCCCCAGGGTGGGCGCGGGCGCTCGGCCAGCGCGCTCTCCTTCTCGCCGGTGGGCGCACCGAGCAGACGCGTCCGAGGCGCCCTGGGGGCCCGGCCCGGCCAGCGGGTGCGGAGAGTCTGTGTTTAAGGGGCGCCGCGTTGCTTCTCCGCAGACGGACACAGGTTCCACTAGACAGAAGGTGCCCCTTGCTCCTCTATCCCCTCCCCGCCGACCCCCCCACTCCCCCCAGCAAGCAGCGAGCTCCTTCCCTGCACTGGTAGTTTGCTGCTGCTGTAGCGCTGTCTCCAAGTCGGATGGGTAGCTGCGGGTCTGTGCGTTGCCAATCCTTCCAGAATCGTTCTTAACACACGTGTCTTTGGAGCCATAGACTTTACTGACAGTATGTGTCCCTCGGGGCGGGCACAATTAGACTGAAAACATAGGCTGCGTCCTCCCACAGAAGAACGTATTAGGAGTTCTTCTAATATGCACCGGTGCTGCTTGCTGCCTTACATCTGACCCAGTAGTCCCTTGCATCTGAGCCAAGCTTTTCGATGTCTCAGGTATATATACATTCATCCTTTCATATTGGGGGAAAATTAGCCCACTGTGTACAAGTAAAACTCCTATTCCCTCCATATGATATTTTCAAATTTGACATTAACTTTATCCCAGCCTGGGATATATACTTACATATGGGTTTAACATTTAGAATGTTAAACCCATATGTAAGTATATACACAATATATATGTACACATATACATGTACAGTGAACCCTCGCCACTTCGCGCTTCGACTTCCGCGGCTTCACTCTATCGCGGTTTTTGCGTAACAGCACCCACTGCCTACACCCGCTCCTTCAGAGGAAAAAGACGGCGACCCACCTGTAGAGTACATCCCTTAAGTCATTTCATAGGCTATTGATTACAGTATTTGTAAGAACTATGTATAATAATACTGTATGTGAAATATGTAATACTATAAACTAGATGCCATAAATAATATAATAAATAATAAATGATAATTGTAACGTCCAAAATGTTTTACTGTATTTTCCCTTTTTCGTTTAATAAATTGGGTAATACAAGTGTAGTGGTGACTAAAGGGTGTTTTTTCATGTCCTCTATGCTCTAACTACGAAAATATTTGATTTACAAATAAGGAATCCTACTTCGCGGAATTTCATTTATCATGGTAGGGTCTAGAACCGATTAACTGAGATAAACGAGGGTTCGCTGTATATATATTTTTTAACTTAATTTTTGGCTAAACCCTTAGAAAGTCAGTTACAGCCATCCCAAAATACCCTAGGATGTTTCTTCTTCTTCTTCTGGATAAATAACAGTTTGTCTTATTTTTTCAAATAGTTTTATTGAGCTATAATTCATATATCATACACTTCCATAGTTCAATTGTATTTGGAAATAGTTGTACAGTATATACATCATCACAGTTAGTTTAGAACACCCCTCTTGTATTCATTATTTGCTTCCCATTTCTCTCCAACTGCCCCCCATCCCTGAGAAGCCACCACACCAAGTATTGTCTGCCTCTCCTGTGCTTCATAAACTGAAAACAAACCGAACAACATCAAAATTAAAAGGACAAATGCATTTTAAAAAGAAAGAGAAGACAGACAGAAATATTAAAATAAACCAGAAGTTAAAAAAGCCCCCGTCTAGGAAAAAATAAGCCAGAAATATTTAAAACTAGAACAAATGCAACATGGATCAAGAGGTAGATCAAATGACCAAGTATCATATTAGAACCCAATTCCACCCACAATAGTCAAGTGTATACAGTAGTCTCTGTCTGATCACAAGGTTATTCTTGCTGAGGGATCTACCAGACGCTTAACATGTGTCTTCTAAGAACAAGGACATTTTCTAAGGAAATCAAAAGAGTAACCAGTGGGTTTCCAAGTGGCTGATGGGTTTGAACTGCGGACCTTGTGGTTATCATCCCTAGGCATAACCCACTGTGCCGCCAGAGCTCCTTTGGTGGTGCAAACAGTAACTAAACGCTGCAGATTCAGATCCACCCAGAGAGCTGTGGAAGAAAGGCCTGGTGTTCTACTACCCCACACATCAGCCATTGAAACCAATGTTGTGCTCTGACTCACATGGGGTCACCACAATTGGTTAGCACCATTACAGTCTACCCCACACCATCTATTCCCATTTCCCCCAACAAGTTCCCCAATCTTTTCATCCCAGATCACACATTTGCATTTAGTTCTCCCTGCCTCGCCAGCCTTCCCCACGGCTGAAGCGATGACTCAGCCTTTCTTGGGCTTCGATGCTGTGGACGCTTCACAGAGCCTGTGCCATTTGTTGGGTAAGGCGGGTTTGTCTGATTGCTCTTCATGACTGGTGTTTTGGGAGAGATGTTTTATAAGCGATCCATCTCTTTGCATCCCATCTCCAAAAAAAGCACTGCCATCGAGTCACAGCTGACTCATAGGGACCTTGTAGGACAGATTCAAACTGCTCCTGTCGGCTTTTGAGAATGTAACTCTTTCAGGGAGTAGAAAGTCTCATATTTCTCCCTTGGAGCGGCTGGTGGTTTTGAACTGCTGACCTGGAGGTTAGCAGTGTAATGAGTAGCCATTATATCATCAGGGCTCCTTGCTTCCCATTGGGGGTTCCCTGATGTCAGTTTGCCCCATGGTTGGTGATGTCTCATTGGTGGCATCTGCCAAATTTCCCCATTGTAAAGGTGCCCTTTCCCGTTTTGCAATATGTCAATTTATTTACTGAGTAATCTGAGGGATTCAGATCGAGATTTTTAGAGTAAAGTGTTGCCTACATAAAGGAAAATTTACACCTAGCCCCAGACTTCAATTGGCTGGAAAGCGCCAAATTTTATTGAAAGCAAAAGTCAAAGCAGGAAAGTTAGTTTATTACAATGAGCTTTTCAGTTTACAAGATCTAACGTCATCTAAGATAACCTTACGGTGGAGGATGGGGCGTTGTTGGGTTCTGATTCCAGTTGGTTCTGACTCGTAGCGACGCTGCGGATAACAGAGTGGAGCTCGGCCAGGGCTCACAATTGTGATTGACCTCATTGTTGCAGCTACCATGCGAATCCGTCTCATCAAGGGTCTTCCTCTGTTTTTTGATAACCCTCTACTTCACTAAGCATGATGTTCTTCTCCGGGAAGAACTGGAGACAAGACCAGATGTTGGCTCTTCTCTCCTGACAGCATCACCAAATGGAGTAGGATGGAGGTAACTTATATCATTGTGTCGATGGCTACTCACAGTGACCCTAGAGGACAGGGTAGAACTGCCCCTGTGAGATTCCAAGACTGTAACTCTTTACGTGAGTAGAAAGCTCCATCTTCCCCCTCAGGTTGGCCTGGTGGTTTTGAACTGCTGACCTAGCAGCCCAGGGCATAACCACAGTGCCCTCTGGGCTCTTCAATGGATGTAGACAGGGCAAAATCATCCCTTTATAGAGATGAGGGATTGGCTTGCTCAAGGAGAAAATTATGGAGCTGGCACATAGAACAGTCAACTCTATATCCCCAAATGGCAACACCTGTCCCTAGAACAAAGCCTAGGAGGTAGGAAGGATCAGGGGAAAATGGAGTAGGCAACAAAGCAAGAACAGCGCAAAACCTTTGAGGAAATTGCAGGGAAGGGAGGCATTAGCTCTGCAAGTGGAATGAATGGGGTTCCAGTAAGTCTGACGTTACCCCATCACGGTAGCCTCCTTTGACATTTAGGCAAAGGATGACTTAAGGTCTGATCCATGAAGCGCATGTACTGGGGGCCAGAGGTTGAAAGGAAGCCCCAATGGTGGCTTGTGATGGCTTTCCTGCCAGCGCATTCCCACACGTAAGGGACTGGAGCAGTGTTGTGCTCCAGTGTCAACCATCGCTGCTGGGACTTCGGGCAAGCCTCTCTCCTCGCTGTGACACAGGCTTAATTGGAATAGCTGTCCCTTGGGGTTATTGTGTGAGGAACATGTAAATAGCAACGTTGTGTCAACAGTTTTGCTCCTCAAGGCAACAGATTATGAGCTAGGTAATTGTTGGGTAATTGTGAAGAAGGTGAAGCCTGTTTTACTGCTCCCCCCCCCAACTTTGTAAAAGAGCCACACACCCCCTTTTCTGGCTTGCTGTGCTCTCTTTATAAAAATCTGAAAAAAGTTTTTTTTTAATTGATATATATATGAATTTATTGCTGTCGTTTTGCTGTGTTTTCTTTTTTCTTTAAATCATTTTATCGGAGACCCGGACAGCTCATCACAATCCATACACCCATCCGTTTGTGTGTCAAGCCTGAAAAAAGTTTTAAAGAGAATTTGATTCTAATCAGATCTCTTGTTTGATTAGAATTTAAGCCAGAGGGCTTCCTATTCTAGGTATTAAAAACAAACAAACCCAAACAACACCAATCCTTAATCCCATCCCAAAGAAAGACAAGGAAAGAAAGAAGCAGGACAAATCAGGAGAATAAAAGAAAAACAGCGATGGTTGTAGAAAGAAACAACAACATCAGTCCTAACAATAACTGGACTAAATGCTCAATTACAAGATAAAACAATCATCGGATTGAATTTTTTTTTAAATTAGGGTTTTTTTGTTTTTCTTTTTTTGCTATTGTTTAAGCAAAATGATATGGAAAAACTGAAAGCTAAAATATGTAAAAAGATATACCAAGCAAGGTATAAACAAAGGGAAGTTAATTAGTACACTAATAGTGTGCATGATATTTTAAGGCCATAAAGTATTACTAGAGGTAAAGAGAGTCACTACCCCACTGCTTAATGATAAAAATTTTCATTCTCCAGGAAGTTGTAATAATTCTAAATGTCTATACATCTAATGACATGGCCTAAAATATGTATGAAGCAAAAATTGGCAGAAACATATGGGGAAATATATAAGTTCACAATTAGAGTAGGACATTAAAAAACATATATGTTAGTATTTGACACATCAAGCACATAAACTTGTTCTGAGGAAGTTATTAAAACCAAACCCAGAACAAAAAATCTTAC